CTGTATTTTGCCCCTCCATCCCGCCCTCCCCTCTAACTCTACTTCTTCTTTTCTGGGCAATCTCTGGTAAAAATTTTTGTGCGGCATTTGCGTGATATTGAAGAAGACATCGCGACATCGGAGCCTTCATTGTATATTTTCTTCTCTTCTTTCCGCCTACTCCTCCCTCCCCCTACCCTTATCATACTTTTGCAACAACACTTTTATTTATTTTCTAATAAAAGTTAATTTTTATGTCTTGTGATAAAACATTGGTGTGCTCTCTCTTTCAATCGTCAACGATTCATCCCTTTCTTACATCCATCGTCCAACAGAATTTTAAATTTCACTCGATAAAAATATCTTTATCAATCTCTCTTGTACGATTTATAATTTCAATTTCTTTTTTTATCTTTTTTCAACGCATAAATTTTTATCATTGCACGATGACACACGTTCGATGCATTCGTACACAACACGGAAATTCTCTTAGATATAAATCAATCTAATGTCGCCAGGGTAACGAATCGTCCAAACAAAAACTTACTGCCATTATTTTCGCAGAGTATCGTGTTTGTATGAAAAGCAGCAGCGAGTCCTACCAATTTACCGATCGATCCCATCGAATTTCGAAACGAAGGTTTTTTCGATCGATTCAATTAACTTCTATCTCATTATCGTGATCGACCCCTATCACACTTGCGAAAATAATATGAGCGCAAATGCAAAAATATTCAGATTTGTATCAATCCTGTTTGAAACGAATAAGACCACCCTCTTTATTAAAACACGAATTCTTTGAAAACAATTACTTATTGGGTAATTTTTACAATTTATAGACATTGTTGCACACCTCTGACTATGATAAAAAGGAAAATGCTCAAGAGGCCACACCGTAGAAATTACGCAACGAGAAAGTGGCACGAATCATAAATCGTTCTAATTCGATGCAGCGGTATACACACACAAAAAAAAAAAAGAGGAGGAACAGAAATAGAAGAATTAGAAATAAGATTGTTAGAACGTGAAATGACTCATTTCGAAGATAATAAAATTCAGAATTTCGAGAATTTTCGCGCATCGAGAAGCTCGCAACAAGAGTTATAACTGTTTTGAATTTCTTTTTCTTATTTTTTTCTTATACAGTAAAAAAATTTTCAGGAAAATTTTGTATATCGATTATTTCGATTATTGATCCTACAACTAATATAATTATAACCTTTCACTTAGACCGATTGAAAGAAATTAGATCGTTTTTCCGTACACATTGGCTTATAAATACCCCATCGATCACCTATCCTGTATTTCATTTCGTTTAGTTACGTAAATTTGATACCACTAGTCTAACATAATAAATTACGGTTGAATTTTTCATTCGAATCTTTTTCATGCTGGAAAGAACACGTAACAAAACGTTTCGAGGAATACGAAGCTCGCTGTCTAATTAGTTAAATTACTTATTTACGTATTTACAATTACCGATTCTTGTGTAATCTTTGGTAATTCTTAGACGCATGGAACATATTAAGTCTGGAGAAACTTCATTTATATAATTGAGAAATATCGAGGCTGAAATAATAAGTTTCGAAAACATTTTGTTTTTCATAATTAGTAAGAAATCAAGATACGAAACGTCTTGTATCTATTCATCTTCGCATATATATTTTCTTAACATCGTATTTACATTTATCCAACATCGATCTTCCTCGTCAACTTCTTCTTTTCCACAACTTGAGCACAACTTGATCAATCACGCTTGATCGTCCCTCGCTTGATCGTCAAGAAGCAACAGAAAAAAATGAAAGGTAACGCAATCGTTCTCCTCGACCTGCATTTGAAAAATCACAATCCCCCGAAGCACGTATCGTACTTCAAAAATGTTAATTACATTTAACGAGTGTGTCAGGTACCGTTCGATCAGACGCACGAAAGGGAGAAAAATATTGCGAAGAATTCACAACGAATTCTGCTCCCAGCTATTCCCCCCTCAGGCGGTCCTCGTCATTGCAATTCAGTGAAAATTCTTTTTGCGCGCAACGCAATCCACGATTTTTTTTATTGGACAATCTCGAGGCATTGCCCATATACGTGTTGGAAATATGTAAAGTACATTTTGCCACTCGAAGGCGTGGAAATGTTTTATGTTGATTCTCTGGTCAAGTTACTCCATACTTATTCCAGAAGTCGAAACTTTGATCGAACGCAGATGTATCCTATTTGAAAAATTTTCGTTTTTTGTTCTACTTTATTTTAGAAGTTTATATCGTGCTGTTCTCAATTGAAAGAACACTTTAACCGATGAAAGGACGTCGCCCGTTTCCGTACTACTATGATACATCGATTCACTGAAATATTATTTTACCTACTATTATTGATTACTTATATTTGCATATTTTAAACGAATCGAGTAACGTTGTTTATCCGATAAAAATATTTATACTATGTAATTCAGTGGCTTTTATTATCGGCGCCTTCAATTTAATGCGCAAAAAAAGTGTTCTCAACAAAAATAAATTGTTTGTTTCATATATTCATTTATCATTAATCTTTACTAGATTACAGGTATAATTGAAATGATATTCACCAATTATGTGAATGAATAATGGAATAATAAAAAATTATTTATTTAGTTTTTCCCATACAGTAATACGTACATACATCATTAATACGCAGTAGACGATAAAATCTAATTATATTTTATTTTATTTATAAAAAAAAAAAGTTAAAATTGTGCAAACGTCACGATTCCAGCGAAATTTTATTTGCGTAAAATAGAATTTCTTAACGCGAATTAAATGATAGTGCAATTTCTCTTCAATTTAATTCTTATTTTACCCATTGTCATTGTTTCTTTAAGGTAAACAATTACGGAATAAAAAGTAAGTAGCTCGTTCTATAATGAGAAACAAACCTTGTGAAGAGTTTCTCAATACACGAGGACGAATATCGATTCACGTTTCAAGGAAGCGCATGTTTTAATGATAAACTTTGCATACGTCAATTATATCGAACAACGTATAATTCTATTTCTTAAATGATCAATCTCGATCTCACAATCTGTTTAACGCAATATCAAAGATATGACTATTTTCCTATTATCCTCGTTAAAAAATATCCTCGACTTGGTAATCGAAACTTACCAAAGAAACGAATCCTATTAATTCCTCTACTATATAAATGCTTATATCTCTATATAAATAGAAAACCAGCTTGTATCTTTAACTAACTTTAACTATAAATCGTAACAGTATTTATCTCGATTGAATAATTTTCTTTGACTAACTTTCACCTAGAATCGCATCTTTTTATCCAAGTTCGCGTTCTAGTTCACATAATCGTCTGGTTACCCTTAACAGGATAGATCTCGTTAAAATGCTTGACCGTCCACGGAGACAAATTCTCGTTAAAAAAAAGTTTCGAAAAGGGGATATAGGCGGCGAAGAAGCGGCGTGGTGCGGGAGCACCATTTCAATGGGGGTGGAACACGTGGCCGAGGGGTGAATGTAACGACGCGCACAGGTGAAGATAGATCGGGTTTGTTCAACGTAACAACGAGAACCACTGGCAAAGCAGGAAAATGTGAACGTATGGATAGCCCGTTGTCCCTCGAGGTTGTTCAGTGTCGTCAGTTCGATCCGGTCACTAGGCCATTCACCATGAACGAGCGCAGTGAGTATATTTCTTACTATTTATTCATTGTTTCCGGTGATACCGTGTATCCCTATATAGCATGCTTCAAACTTCTCTAGTAAGTATTTTCTCCCTTTATAATCGTGTCAAGTTCAATTTTGTACGATTTCAATACGAGAGAATTGGAATGGAATTCTTTTTTCATCGTTGCTAAAATCTTGGTGCACTTTCAACGATGATAATTTTTAACTTGGATCGTAAAAAAATTCGAAGAATTGAAAAAAAAATGATTTATATAACTGCTTCAAAAATTAAAAATAAATATTCCTATAAATATCATTCATTACTTGACTGCTTAATTGCAAATTAATAAATATTATATATACAATTGCAAATTGTATTTCCATTCAATTTCGTACTTTATTATTTTTCTTTTAATCTTCAGAGGATGAAACGCAGTCAATTTACACGGTCACCAGCCAGCAGAACTTGGTACCGATAAAATCCAGAAACGCCTAGTAAGTGAGATCGACGTCTGCCGGTTGTCTCTGCTCGCCTACTTATTAAGTCGTGTTATGACATGTATCAAATGAGGAAACCTTTAATTTATTAGATTTGTTTTTCTTTTTTCTTTAGCCTAAAGAAACGAAGACACGTACCGAATTTAATGATGATTGCATTGTTTCTCCTGATGGGTCTATCTATCCTAGCGGCACTGGTGTTTTCTATACTTTGTAAGGAATTTTTATCGAACGTGATCTTGCTTTTTCGCATCATTTTACGAAGATCAAGAATTTGGGAAATAAAATTTATTATCAAATTTCGTTATTTTTTTAATTTTCAACTATCGTATTTTGACTTTTTTTTTTCTTCAGATATAACCTACAGACCGACGAAACTCTGCGAAACAGACAATTGCGTTCGTATAGGTAAGCGATTAATTGATTAATCAACTCTGTGATATTCTATATCTCTGTGATTACGATTGGAAAAGATTTGATGAAATTTTCGTTACTGTAGCTGCTAGTTTGAAAGAATCTATGGATACGTCCGTAGATCCTTGTGACGATTTTTATAAGTAAGTATACATTCTGAAAAGTTCTGATTATTGACTGTACATATCTATGGCATACGTTTCAGAATTGCGAAGTATATACGAAGTATATTTTTCAATGTCGTGCAATGGTACACATGAAGTGTTCAGGCTTTCGTGTGCAAATACGATACGATCTTTATCTCCGCATTTTAACGTTCAATTCCTTTCCAGATACGCATGCGGGAAATGGCAGGACGAGCATCCTATACCTGATAAGAGTTTGATTAATTCGTGGTTCGACGAGCGTTTAGAAAAAATATACGTAAAAATCAGAGAACTGTTACGGGAAAATAGGACGGATAGCAACGAACCGTGGGCAGTATCGCAGGCTAAACTATTGTATAGTAGCTGCATAAACGTGCGTACGTTGCCATTTTGATAATAAATGATTTTTTCACTTTCACTTTTGATGAGGAAAGTATTGAAATAAAAAATTCTTTCGAAACATTTCTGCTAATTTGTTTCTCAAGTTATTGAATTTCCATATTCGATGAAAAGATTAAAAAAAGAGAGTAGACCGTCGAACGCTCGAGTTAATTTTCAGAGGCGACGAACGAGCTGGGACTGACGCCGTTGTTCGATGTATTGAAAGAGCTCAGTCTACCCCCGGTTCCTGCGGCCATCACCAAGAAAACGAGCGATTACATCGAACAAATAGCCAGGGTGAAAAAAGTTCTAGGAAAGGACGTGTTCTTCCGCTTCGACATTATTCCCGATCCTCGAAACAGCAGTGAAAATGTAATGTTTCTCGACACACTGATCATCAATAATCCATTGCCCAAGTAAGGATCATGTGTTACTCGTTTTGAGATATTTATTTTAAACGTGATTCGATTAATCGAACGATCGAATTTTTGTATCGTTAATAGCGAGAAAGAATTGGAGAAACGATTGCATTCGATCAGATCAAGTTTCCGAAGAATGGAGAACGAGGAGACGGATGAAAGTGAAGATAAACTGAAAGATGTAGAAATCACGTACATAACCGGCATAATTAAGCAAATCATGAACAATGGAACCCTTGATACTTGCTCTTTAAACGATGAATCATTGCCGCTTGACGAGGAAGAATTGGAAGAAATCACCGAGTCGCTTTACAAATTAACAAGCGCATTTTATTACGTACGTTGTTCGAATAATGCAAGTTAATAACGATTACTGTTAACCAAAAATATTATTTTTATTACAGCTATCCCATTACGATGAAACCACTTGGCAAGATGATCCGACCGATGATAATTACATGCTGGTAGACGATCTTCAAAAGGTGACCGACGAGTTTGTGACGGAAGTTAACTCTACGCTCACGCCTAAACTGTTATGGAGACCGTTCATTGAACTGGTTTTTAAGGATATTGACACTTTAGACTTGGATAACAAGGACAAAGTGTTGATAGGCGATCTGGAATATTTGAAGGAAATCGCTCTTATGTTGACTCTCGCCGAGGAGGAAGAATTAGGTAAAGAAAATTTGAATTTCGATAATTTTTTAAAATTAACACATTATAATTACGCGATGTTGAATTTTCTTCAGAAAGTTACGTATGGTGGGTGATAGTAGATATAATCGTGCCACATTCGTCGGACAGTTTAAAAAAAATTTGGATAGATTACATCAACGAATTGACCAATATCGAGATCGGTGAATCGAGGTCATTCTTTTGCGCGTCCGTCGTCAACGAATTGATGGGTCGGTGTAAAATATAATTTTATTTGGAGTGTATAAAAGAAAAGTTTTTTTTTGGAGATCGTTGCGAAATTCGACGATCTTTTACCAAACACTGCTATAATTTTAGGAATGGCGACCTCGTGGTTGTTCGTGGACTCATCCTTTCACGAAGACAAAGGTAAAAATGTGTTGGAAATGTTGGACAATATAAAACAAGCTTTCGCCTCGATGGTTCTGCGAACCGATTGGATGGACCAGCGGACAAAACTGGCCACGCTGGAGAAGAACAGAAAGATGAAGACACAAATTGGCTTCCCGGATTGGTTGTTCGCCGAAAAAGAGCTCGACGAATATTACGAGAGCGTAAAAAATTGTTCATTCATTTTTAATGAATGTTTAAGTGTTTAGCGGCAATAAAATTAACTCGTTTATTTTCAGATAGATCTCTCGGAGACGGAGTATTTGAGCAATATAATACAAATTATTCGATTGATGTCCTTGAGCGAATTAGAATCCATTCATCTGATTAATTATAAAAATGAATCATAGTAAGAATTTTATTTCATTCAAAGAAACGTTGCTTGAATTGGAAAAGTGATCAAATGTTTTTTTTTTATTTCTCAGCTGGGCGACCGATCCAACGGATGTAAATGCATTTCATACGTATGAGTATAATCATATAAGTACGTATTTTTCTTAAATAAAACTCAACACCTAATATAATCGCACGATTATATGCATATGTCGCTTTTCTTTTTTAACGTGCATGCAGCTGTACCAGCAGGAATTCTTCAATTTCCTTTTTACGAATTGGGTCTTGAGTAAGATCGGAATTACGATCGATATAGGTATAGTAAATAACAGGTTTCTATAGATCGATTTCTCAATTTCAGGTCTCTGAATTACGGCGCCATCGGCTCGATCCTTGGTCACGAATTGACTCACGGATTCGACAACAACGGGAGACACTACGACAGTAACGGGAACGTGAAACAATGGTGGACCAACGAGACTATTTTGAGATACACCGAGAAAATTGAATGCTTCATAGATCATTACAACACTTACTACGAAGCTGAAGTAAGCGCGACGTCATTTAGATAGATTGTTGACCAAAATTGGCGATCGAACATCGGCGAGGTGTTCGATCTCTTTCTTCCATTTACGTGAAATTGAGTTTATAAAAGTATCAACGATTTGACTAAGCATTTATTCGAGCAGATAGACGATTATATCGACGGTAAACTCACATTGAATGAAAATATAGCGGATAATGGGGGTCTGAGAGAAGCTGTCGTCGCTTATGAAAGATGGAAGGCCAAACACGGTCAAGAGCCCTCGCTTCCGGGATTCACTCACCTCACTCACGAGCAACTTATTTTTCTTAGTTTCGCACACGTAAGGCGTTTTCATTTACTTTGTCGGATATTATATCGAAGCTCGATTCTTGAAAATGATTAAAATTTATAATTTTTTTTTTCAAGCTGATGAAAAATGTATCTTTTGAAACGCGTTGAACAATCCACATCAATATTAATAGAAACTTTTTTATTATTTATTTCATTATTATTTTTTATTACATTATTATTCTTTTTTTCTTGTGTCCCTTTCATGTCACGAGATATTAAATTAATGATAGACGATTTTCAAATACTCATTATTTAATATATTCTTGGATTTTATTTTCGATCAATTCGCATTTCATTTGCAAGAAATTTTTTCATTTTTGGATATTTGTAAAACATATTCATCATGTTTAATTTATTCAGATTTTTATGATATTTTTTTCTGCTTAGATTTGGTGCGAGATCAGTACTCCAAAATTTTTAAAATCGATGTTACAAAATAGCCATTGCCCTGGACACGTGAGACTTCTCGGAGTTCTCAAGAATTCCCAAGAGTTCAGCGAAGCGTGGAATTGTCCTGCGGGATCGAACATGAATCCCTCGAACAAATGTAAAATATGGTAACGACAGAATTCCTTGATCGAAAAAAAAAAAAAAACTCCTGAATTTTCTCTTCCTCGAAAAAAAAAGTCACGCTTTTATATTTTTCAATCTCCTCAAATTATTATTATTATTAACATCAATTATATGTATATATATATACTATAAGTGTTATATAAATATTAACTATAAAATATAATTTCATTGATCGAGCTGTAAAGGATGATTGTTAGATACTCGAGTAATCCAATATTCATAATAAAAGAATTTTATTTATTTATATTACACGTCGTGCATTCGTATTTCGCATGTTTAATCGGGAGATTCTTCATTTGTCACAGTTTGAAAATAATTCTTTCCGATCGCGCCAGCTCCAATCGATTCTAAATGCTCTCCAACAACGAACGAATCTATCTATCTATACAATCGACGATACGATTCATTTTCAATAAACATATCCGCCGTTGGCTTCCGTGGGTTGAACGTACTCGTTGGCTGGCGTCACGCTCACCACCTGCTTACTAGCCGATACCGGATTATTGACGAGTTCTTGATTGTAAGTGTCATCGCTAAGAATGGTGACAGGGGTGGTCACCTTAACCGGTTGGCTCGTGGTCAACTGCGACTTGGAATGAGCGCGCGAGGTCGAGGAGGAGGACGAGGACGAGGGCGAGGTTGAGGTCGAGGATGGGGGCCGTAAGGTGGAAAAGTTGGGCAAATACATGGTGGCGAGCTGGTAGAAGAAATTGCCCAGGAATTGCTTGTCTTGCAGGCCCTGATCCGAGATATGGATCACGGGTACCGATTTGGTTTTAAGCACCTCGGTCACGGAGTGTTGGGTCTCGACGGGCTGGTGCGACACGATTCTCACCGATTTGATCGGATCCACCGTGTCCACGGATTGCAGGGGGCTCGCCGTCGACACGCTCACCACAGGTGTTAGGCTCTCGACCACGGTCGGCACCGCGTGTTGCACAGGCGACGAGGTCTTCACGGACTTGACAGATTCCACGGTGTGCACCAGATTCGAGGATGGCAACGTCTCGACGGATTGCACCGGTGTGTAGGTGCGCGTCGCGTGCACGGGGGTCAAGGTGCCCACGGAAGATACGGGTTGGATCGGAGACAGCGTTTCGAAGGGAAGCGACGAGACGGAAGGCAATGCGTAGAGGGTGTGGACAGGGGCGCGTTGCAGGATATGCGTGTGTGGAGCCGAGAAGGCTGGTTGCGCGACGGAATAGGCGGTTGGAACGACGGTTTTGTCGAGCTGGTGGGACGATGAGAGGGAAAGAGGAACGTTCAAATTGACCGCGTGATCGACAGGGATGGATTGTAGCGTCGAGTAGAGGGAAGGAAGTTGGGAAGAGACGTAACCGGGTATGTTAAGGACTCCGCCGTAAGAAGCGTAGACAGTGGGCAGAAGAGTGTTGCCAAGGACGTTCTTCCTCACGGTTTTCGTAACCGAGGGGTTGATCTTCGCTCCGTTGGTAAAGTGTGTTACTTCTATGCAAGAGAGAAAGAGAGAGAGATTAGGTATCGATTGTAATTATAAGAATGTGGTACGATGCGATACGATACGAATCTCTGATGGTATTTTTAAAAATCTTGAAGAAATTTCGACGGATAAATTATTCAATATGCAAAATATGTGGCACGATATTAGCAATACTCGAATAGTGACTCGAATTATGTAATGTTAAAAGATTCTTACGTTTTACGGTAGGCCAGTGTTCAACGATGTTCACAGTCGATGGAGATCCTTCGTGAACTCGAGTGTTTACAGTTTTGACCGTGGATTTGACTTGAGACGCGGATTCGGTATTTACGGCGGTCTAGAGAAAATTAGATATGTTTTACTCGTTTGGAGTAATTTGCAGAATGGATAAATTATTGTAGAAAGTGTTAAGTTTACCTTAACGGTTTTATCCACGGGAATACCGTAAGGGGCTGGTGGCGGTGTGACATTTACCGTCTGCAAATAGAAAATTACGGCACAATGTGATTGAACTTCGTTCGATTTATTCTATACGTACTTCGACGCTTTCAACTGGAACCGAGAATGTTGTGCTTGATACTACTTTTTCAGGTTCTACGTTAACCACTTCAGCGACCTGAAGAAATACGTAATACCTCATGATTTCGTCGGTAGAATCTTTATGAAATAATTTTTCCCTTTATAATTTTTATTCCAGTTACCGGTGTGGAATATTCGGTGATAGCGAGGGGTGACAAGTAGTCGTTACCAAGAGGAGCGCCCGGTTGATATCCAGGGGGTCCATAGACGTCCTGTACCACGGATTTGTCATCAAAGGATTTAACTTGCACCACGTTGTCGAGATGATGATCGATTCCGTAACGTGGATCGCCTGGAAGAACGTCCCTTTTATGCTTTGGCTCGGGGAAAGCCGAGGAAACCGTCAAATAAGTCTGAAATAATTTGTGAGAAATATTATTTTCTAGATATTTGTTTGCGCGTTTCACAACAATTTCTTTTCATCTATAGTCTTTGATCAAAATTTTTAAATTCCAGTGAAAAGATGTTTATCGAATAGAAAAAGATGAAATCTATCTCGATAAAATATTTTTGGCTGTACACTGAAAGAGGCACCTTACCAAAGCGATCAGCAACAACCTCATGTTTACGGTATGCTGTTTGAATAAGGAGTGGAATATCATCCCAAAGATATTTCGATCTTTTATACTTGACCGATGTTCCCTCTCAGTTTATTTCGTAATCGGATGGCATTGGGAGAACTAGATTTTTTAATTGACTTTTTTTGAAGGTCTCCTCATCGTCGAGAGATGATCGTCGAGCGAACAAAATGTTTTCTGAATAATCCTCGCTTGTGCGTGTTGGTGACACTGCCGACCGAAGAAAATAAAATTCCACTTTTGTTTCAGTGTTGGTGTTCCTCTTCTCTGATCTTCCGTCCACCGATCTTTACTTTCGATATTTTAACCAATCATTATGTATGTGAACGGACGATGATTTATGCAAATCTCTATGCGTCTCTTTCCTCAACTTCGCTATCTTTTTTTTCGTTCTTTTTCTCTTTTCTTCTCATCATCGACATCAAAAAAAATGCGCATGTATGACCATTATCGAGCTTCGTTCGAAGAAGAAGAAGCTTTTAAAGGATTCGGATAACGAACGATGGACTTTCGTAAGATTTAATGGATTGTCAATCACCCCTAAGTATATAATTCGTATGATCCCAATTATTGAACGTCAAGTTTATGACAGCTTTGTGTTTTGAGATATGCATGTGGCAGATGTGTTTCATAACTTTCCAAATGCAGATGTATGCGATGATGTTTTTAATATCTTTTTTCTTGTAGAAAACAATTTGTAGAAAATAAAAGAGATAAACAACTTTGATATAGATCTTGTAGAATATATTTTACAAGTTTATTATTATGAAGATGATAGTAGACAAGTCTAATATTCTTGAATTTATTTTTTAATTTTTATTTAGGTTGAAAAAAAATGATATAAGAGTCATTGCGTGTATAACGTGTGTCCAACAGTTGATAGAAATATTGCAATTCATTTGCATTAATTATTTATTTAAATTAATGTTATATATTTAAATACGAATTCCACATCCTTGACCTATAAAAAACTTCAGTTTATCAATTGTTTTTGTAAACAAGATACCGATCAATATATATTTTATATGCATTTCCATCGTCAAGTAATTGGATAAAATTATTTTGAAGTTTCTATGATGAAATACAATTTTTTGTCAAGTATGTAATAAACGAACGATGTTTTGAAGAAAGAAATGTTTCGAAGTCAGAAATAGATGCCATAAAATTTTATTAGTACCAATTTTATGAATAAATTTAACGAATAAGAGAAATATATTGTTTTTCGTTTAAAGTAACAATAATTTTATTATTATTTTTTTAAATGCAAATATTTCAATAATTCATAAAATTGTCATTGAACAATTGTTTTAATTTCAAATTAATTTTCACAAATTTCATATTTTATTAATAATATTCTTTCGCGTTTTTTGCTTCTTTTGTTAGAAATCTATTTAAAAAAAAAAAAACTGTTGTCTTTTAAGTTTGGAGAAATCTTTTTCTACTTAATTTATGATGGGCAGAAATCGAGAATTTCTCTTTGTCCAAGCTTGTATTTTGGACATATCTAGATAGACTCGTTTCTTCGTGATAAATCGACCGATTCACTGAATAATTTAAGAACATCGATAATGCATTAATTGCATAACAAACAACTCCATAAAAGACATATATTAAGACATTCCGATCTGATAGAAATTCAATTGCGCAATCTCATAAATTTCGTACTTTAATTTCAACAATTAATTATCGAATCAAAAATTCAAAGTTAATGGGTTATATAGAGAATTAACAAATTATTTTTTTTTTTTTTTATATTTTTTCTTATAACTTAAATTCAAATTGAATTCTTTTCTTCCTTTTTTTTTCCATTGCAAGAAAAAAAAAGAACAATGGATAATAACAAGTACAAAAAGTATTTTACAAAAATATTTACAAAAAGTAAATATTTTCAAAATTAAATATCAATGATGAATTGAAGGAGATCAAAAAGTGTTTATTAAAATTTTTTAAAGTCATTAAATATGCCGCGCATATTCAATTGTAACAAATCGAATTTTTTGTTCGAATAACACTGTGGCTCTATCTATGAGTTATATTCGAAAGTATATAAAGATATATCACCATAGATTATATATATAATAGATTCTATAAGTCGGTATTTCAGAATACGTAATGAAAAATTTTATACGACGATGCATCTATTCTACATTTTCTTTATGTCTGTGCATAGATTATTCTCCTAGCAGATAAAGCAAGAATTAATGGTAAAGAGTAAAAGAATTCGTTTTATACTCACATAAGCTTATGAAATTCTTTTCTTTCTTTAATTTATTTTCAATTTAAACAACAATCCTTCTATTGCATTCGTGTCCATATATCTTTATATCTCATACATAAATGTCTTTCTATTGATTTAAATTTTGTATAATAAAACATTTTTACTTAATTTAAAATTTTTATACTTCGCTTTGTTAAAAAGCAAATTATACAACTATAAAACGCTGGCTGAAAACTTTTAGAGAATAATAATAGGAGAATCGAAAAAGATTTATTAGCACTGTAAATTGCAGTGAGAGTGAAGGTATATATTACCCTATTGCACGTGTATGTCGCAAATATATGCGTCGTCCATTAGAGAGCATTATTATGTTCATTTATGGATATTAGTTATAAGCTCGCTCTTCTACCGAGTTGCGGAAAGAAAAGACTCGCGCTCTAATTATCCCGATTATCTTCTACCCATGTCAGGTCGTGTTTCACTCAACTCCCATGGAAAACCATGTCAAGTATCATTATCCTTTTGTTTGTCTCTTCTTTGCACTCTAATTTCTTTTAAATAATAAAATAGAGAAAGATGATCTTGAAAGTAGATTCTTTGGATAAGGTTTCAAGTATGCGTTTCGATTATTGAATTTCATGTATATTTATTTAATAATTGTTTCTATTAAACTTAATAGAAAGTAATATAAAAAAAATTGGTATGTATAAAAAAAATAACATTGTGATAAATAAAATGAATTTTTATTTATAGATTTTTATTATAGATACAATTTTAAATAATTTTCCTCTCACGAAGAGTTCTTTTGAAAAGCTATTTCCGTTTTATACCTTTTATGACTTTTTACCTTTCTCTTGGAAGACAAACGAAATAAGGATAAGGTAATGCAATTTTTATCGTTTCGCGTTAATTTATTCATTTTTTGTCATATGGAAGATCTACGATGGAAATTCAATCGGTATCAAAGATATACTTTGTCCGTTTTATATAAAACAGATAATCGATATATAATTCGACACTCGGGATTACTAGTTTTCACCAAAAGTGAGAGGAGAAAGAGGGTTGACCGGTGAATGATTTTACTTTTGCTTTTGTACTGAACCGGATTCTATCGCCCTTATAAGAAAACTATTACTGATTAAACGCTACATTTTTTTCTCTCAAATCGGAAGGATACACGTTCTATTAGATCTATTATATACCATACAATTCAATTTTTTACATAATATATAAATATACACAAAATATACACTTTGCACCAAGAATAAATATACACTCGTACCAAGAATTGGGATTTTTCAAGGATCTCGATAAATTTTTCGTTGTCCTTCCTGTCACTGTTGGATCATACATTCTCACCAATATTTCCGTGCTTGGAAGAAAATATAGAAAAATATCAGTTGCAATAATTTGCACGAAAAAAAAGAAATTAAAGAAAAGAAATATAACATTTTTTAAAAAATAAATAAGCGGTAATTACTTACTGTTCTCTAAAATGTTAACAGCTGTCAAAATCGATTTGATTTCTTCAACGGATACTACTTTCCTTTGAATCTCGGTATAGGATCGAAATGCTTGTTGTACTCATGTATCATTCCGGCGAAGTTTTACAAGCAGCGGATTTGTTTCGCTCGCACGAGTGCATGCGAACGAGTGTGGCTGTAGAAAGAACCAGATGATCCAGATTATCCTTTTACTTTGGACGTTCTTTCAGTGTTCGAGAACGATAATCCTTTCACCGTTCTCTCCCTCGACCGTGAATAGTTTTCGCGGTTCGCATTTCAGAATCGTCGATTGCTCTCACCATTTTTTACAAACAGGAAATTACAACGCGGCCTCCGCTTCCTAATGCGATTTCCTCACCTTCTCTATCATCGTCCCTTCTGATCATATTGGGCGAAAAAAATTGAACGAAATATTCTTCTATAATTAGAAGAATTGGAAGAATTATTTTTAAAATACAAAAAATTTTGAAACATGTTTATTCTGAGTTAGATATGTAAAAATTGAAATCATAATTTCATATTTAATAATAACTTGTCAATCGAATGAAATTGATACGATTTCGATCGAAGATAAATGTAATGTTTCGATTGAACAAATATGATTTATTATTAATTATCATAAATATCTTAAACGTAAAAAGTAATCGTTACCGTGAAAAGAGGTGTGAACAACTTTCGTATAAAATCACGTAGAGTGCATACGTCAATTTTGACACTCGTAATTGATCGTGTAATTAATCGAAACATCCAAGACACGAGTAATTACGCTCGACGAAGATTGCGCGCTCGATGAAAAGACATAACAAGATAATCGCATTCACTGTCACGATTCATCCTTTAAAAGGAAGAAGAGAAAAACGCTGGAATCATTATAGAGAGTTGGAAAAAGGAGGAGAGGGAAGCTGCGTGACTGGGTCAGTTACGAAAGAGTAAACACACAAATTCCCTTTCGGCGCAGTGCGCGGAAGATGCAGAGGAGAGGATCGATCTCGATTGCGCTTGAAATCGAGCGTGGTGGACGGAGACCGTGGCGTGGTGGCGGTCGTCGAACTCGCGAGAAGAGCAAGGAAGAAAAAAAAAAGAAAAGAAAAGAAAAGAAAAGAAAAGAAAAGGGGAGAAGCGGAGACAAGACTGGAGAACGCAAGCCAGTCGGAAAGAGAGTGCTTTCTTCGTGGATCGGCGATGGTGAAGGTCCTCGTATATAAGCAACTGCCGGTACTGCAATTGTCAGTGTGATTCGTCCCATCGGAAACGCCTATCTTCTTACACCTACGAAACCGGATGACGATGTGGCGAGTAGTAAGTTTTAATCATCGTCGAGATGGCGAGACGCGTCGAGCAGCAATAATTCTCTCTCTCTCTCTCTCTCTCTCTCTCTTTACAACTTTCGTTGTAAATTTTGTGAACGTGTAACTCGAGTGGACTCGAACAGAGTTACAGGGTTGTAAAGTGTGAACTGTTCTTTTCTTGTCCATTTTTTTTATTCGGAGGGGGGCGTGAACCGCCCAAAAAGTGATTTTAAGCGGGAGAGATTTGTCGGAGAAAGCATTGCAAATTCTCTTGGTATAGATTATCGATATTTACGTGGATCTGTGCCTAAAAGAATTTCAACGGAGAAAGTTAATTTCCGTTCACTTGGGTCGGATATATAATAATTGAGATTCGTTTAATTCTTCTTATGATATTTCACGAACGTAGAAAGGATTTTCTACGTTCCTCCAGCTCGACTCTCGTCAGATTTATCTTGGCGTGCAGTTCGATGAACTTTAATCGCGATTATATATATACGTTTGCAGTTTTTGTTCGCTTTGGCCGTGGTCGCCGCAAGGGCCTCTCATTTCTCCTCCCTGGAAGGCCATGGTCTTCATTCGAGCGAGCCCAAGCTTATCTCGCAATCGGTTCATCTCAAAGAAATACCGACCAAAATCATCAAGGTCACGAAAACCGCGGTCGTCAAGGTGCCAGTTCCCTATCCAGTCAAGGTATTCCTTATTAATTTCTCCTTATATTAATTTCACAGTAATGCATATACACAATCCATAATAAATCTCTTCATCATCTATACAAAAATAATATTAAATAAAAATAACTACTGCAAAATTCAATCTCCCACAATTCTTTTGTACAATCCAATCAAACAAATCTCTTCAACATCAAAATTGGAAAATTCAAATTTTTCGCAATTCTTTTGCACATACAATCCAATAAAAAATCTCTTCATCATGAATACAAAAACGATATTAAATAAAAATAACTAGTGCAAAATTCAAATCTTATCAAAATTCGTCTTATTTCCACCCGATTGCCGCAAAATCGGACAAATCGATAGGAGGTTTCGTTGATCTAGAAATTCCTTTCTCTTTTGTAGGTACCCCATCACATACCGGTCCCGGTGCCAGTGAACCATCCGATCGCTGTTCCGTATACGAAGCTGGTGAAAGTTCAGGAACACGTGCCGGTCGAGGTGTCCAGGCCAGTCCCGATCGAGATCCATCAGCAAGTACCGGTGGTGGTGCCGAAGGCGGTCCCGGTACCGCAGCCGATTCCGGTTCCTCATCCCGTAACGGTGAACAAGCCTGTCTTCTACCCGGTACCACACCCGATTCCATATCAGGCGAGCCATTCCGAGGGTGGGATCGGAGGTGGAGCTGGTGGATACGATTCTGGGGATCACGAGGGCCACGAATCGGAGAGTTACAGCTCTTACACGGTGAATCAACACGGCCACGAGCAGGACGTCCAAGGTGGACACTTCCAACCATCTCAACCCGATTACGGCTCGCATCATTGAACGACATCATTTTCACATTTCCGTTGTACATATTGTCGTTTATACTATACTGTTTAAAGCCTGATTTGTTAAGTTTATGTTTTTTTAATTTTTATGTTTTTTTGTTGACTTGACGTTCTTTCCTATTTTTTCTTTTTTTTTATATGATTGTTTTAATAAAAATTTGTACTTTGTGAAATACTTGGTGACGGTCGATGGTTTCACTTCTTCAAACGCTCACAGTTACGGCAATTGTTCGATCAAATTATTTATATTTATATGTAATTGCGAGATCGATGGGATATCTAAGAAAAATGACCTCGATTTTTCATGCTCCGATAAAATGGAAAGTGAATTATCGTATCACGATTTGATGAGTCATCACGAGTCTGCATGATCTATATATATATATTTGACGCATGGATTATATTCTATTTCTGGCCAGAAAAGATCGATCGTGATTTGTCCAAGAATGGAATTGTATTTGCGATGAGCGAACGGGTATAACGGGTCATCCGGTTGAAACTGTCACGAGTTTTAACTCTTGTTTCTCGCGGTCAAGAAAGTGGACTGGAAACGCGACTGGATCGATCAAATCAATGGCGCGGTTGTTACAGCGTTAGAATTTTTATAAAATTTATTTTTCTCTCACAGTTGGTTGAAAGTATGCAGCATGTAACTGACCATTAAAAACTGTAATTGCACGCATTGCATTCTCGCGCGCTCGCGAAAAATGAATCTCGTTTTTTTTTCGCGGTTAAATGTCAATGAAAAATTACACGAGAGTGGTATGAAACGAATACGAGTGAAACGAGTGAAACGCAATTACGCGCCTTTATTTGTTTTCATTGTTAAAAATTCTTCTTAATTATTATAATAACGTGCATCGCGCATCGTTTTCTCTTCCTATTCTCTCACGAGGATAACGAGGAATCGGATCTCTCGCGAAATAACACGTTTGCATAATTTGATCGCTTTATTCGAGGAATACCAGCTTTAATTTCAGGGAGGGGGGAGAGGGTGCACGCAAAATTTCGTTAATCACTTGCGGTTAAACTGCATCCTTTACCCCTTTAATGAGCCCACCAATTTGTACTTCTTCCACGAGATATTTATATTATATTTACACACCCCGCCATTCATTTTGGATTATTACTACGAATTCACGACGTTGTCTAATTTCTTCGTGGAAATTCACGAACCTTCCCTATTTTTGCTTTATATTATTACATTATTATATTATATCGCGCGTATAAGTTTCTTATATCCAATCAGTGAAAGTAGTTTCTTTTAATAAATATCCGATATAATGTTGCGTAATATATATTTTTTTTTTTCTATTAGATAATTTTTATACTCGATCAAGGTAATTGAAACCAGTTTCGTAATATTTCATTTCAAAAGAAATGATCAGAATTACAAAATCTCTTTTCAAATTTTTCTCGATTATTTCTCCATTTCGATATTTCAATATCCTTATATATATATATATATATATAAATATATATTTCTTTTTTCTTCGATATCAATGGAATCGAAAAAAGGAAAAGAAAAAAGGAAAACACCATGTTTCTTTAATACGAAAACATATATTTATTTCTATGTTGGAAAACAAGAGTGAAATTACTTATACAAAAACAAAAAAAAAAAAGGACAAATAACCGCGATAGAACAATTACGTCGATTAACGCAAGATCGTTAACGCTCGCGGATTTATTCCTCTCACAGATACGTTCAAGAGAGAGATATAACCAATCATACCATCCAAAGGGGGCCAATCTTCGCATTATCGCGGGACAAAAGATTCAAAATATATTGGCAAAAGATCGATGTTCGATGGTTGGACTCGGACTAGTTGTTCGTTAGTTGTTCGATCCCGGGGCGGAGATCTTATTATATATCTTTAATCCGCAACTTTCTCTGCCACCCATGAAATCCAACTGTCGCTCGGATTTGGAACACTCGATAACGCTGTCACGATCGCCGAAGCTAGCTCCCTCGGATCCACGAAAATGAAAAGGATTGGTTCCGTTTACCAGGAGGAGTAGCCGCTTGGCCAACCGCCGTGATTGTATTTCTCGATCACGACTGCAGGTTGCACCACGGGCACCGGTATCTGTTTCACGTATGGAACGGCGTAAGGTTGGGGCACTTTGACTGCGTAAGGAGCCGGTACCGGAACTTTGATCGGGACCGGAACTGGCCTCTCCACTGGGACTG